AACAGTTTCTCGACCACGCTAAAATATCGAATCAGTGAATGACATATTCCCATCAGTGTTATTTAACTGAATCATATGTCTGATGTAATTTAATTAATGTAACTAAGTGAATTTCCCCATGCTTGACTCTGAAGGAAAACAAATATGTGTATTGTGTTGGAATACAAATAGCGTCTCTTCAGTGTTATTTAACTGCTGCATATGTTTTTAATTTTTATTCCATATAATTTGTTTTTAATTTTAACAGAAAGAAAAATATTTAAGTACTGAACACTATTCGAGTATAACAAAAGCATTTTAAGAAACAAGGTGATATAACTACAGTAATTATTAAAAATATTTAATTTATACGCAGGCTTAATTGAAATTAAGAATTAGGGAAAGAGTACTTTTAGATTATACTGAAAATATGTACTTCTGCTGACATCTGAAGTGAATCAATATAAGTGACTTTTCACATTAAAAAGAATGTGATAAATCTATTTAAAAAGTATACTGACGTGGTAAAGAAATTTGTAGAATTTTATATTAATTTGGTGATTCAAATCATTTTATATATTTTTTTACTTGAGATATGTAATTTAAACTGAAAATCACGATCATATATTGCTCACAGAGTATGAAAATTCACTTGTGTTAAAAAAAAATGCGTGAGCAATGAAAACATATGGGAAAATACTTTTTGATTATGTTATTACTATGGTTTTTGAAATTCTGCCTTCATGTATTCTATTCAACAAGATTTATTAAGTGCAGGCAATACAATGTAAAAATATTTAAAAATACCGCATTTTACAATATTTAGTTTCATTAACTGAAATATCATTTTTCATTTCTAATGTTTTCCTTAAGAAAGGAGTTTACAATTATTTTAGCATTTGTACGAATTCTGAATATAAAATAAACATTTGCTTTGACAAAATACTTAATAGGAAAGTATATACCCAGTATTTCCATTATGTTATTTAAGACAGATGCGTCAACCGATGTATCTTGTCACTACCAGGTAGTGACAAGTTCCTGGTTACACATATTTATGACACAATACACATATTTGTTTTCCTTCAGAGTCAAGCATGGGGAAATTCACTTAGTTATGTTAAATAAATTACATCAGACATATGAGTCAGTTAAATAACACTGATGGGAACCATTTTCCGTTCCTGCCAGAACCTTTAGTATATTAAAGAACCTTGGATGAAAATATTTGTTTTTAGATCACTTGATGGCAAATTGATAAATGTTGTGAGCCTATCAGGACTGTCTTTTTTTGGGGGAGGGGGGGGCATTTGTGCAGTTGGTGTACTCTGATACACTCATAATGTGAATGCAGTTCTTTGTCTCTTATGAAATTGTCTTATAGAATTCTATGTATTAAAAAATAAATATGAAACTTCTTTAGATTTACAGCCCAATATTCTATAAACTAGATCAGAGTTCTACAGAATTTTATAAATTTTAGATATATCTTCTACAGAGTAATGTATAGAGATTCTATAATTGAGCCAAAATTCTATAAAAATTTTTAGTTTGTAAACTTTGCATGAATAGGATCTTATTTGTATAGAATCAAATACCAGAATTGTACTGAAAATATGAGATTCAGTTCATAGGAAATCGGGTTAAAATTATTAAAAAAAGGTTTTCTTTAATATTCTATAAGATATGCACTTGCCCTGGTAGCATTAAGACATCACATCGGATAGAAAGATTCGGCTGTAATTTACATATCCAGTAAAAGTCCCACTCTCCACCATTCAACTAACCAGCTGGCAATCAAATAGCTGGAATATTTTCAAATTAAAACAAATTTGAACAGAAAATTACGCAAACAAAAGATTTGTAACTGTGCTATAAATCACAAATAGGGCTATGAGTCAAATCAAACAAAAACTGTTGTTAAACAGTGTGATTTAGAGCCAATAATGGATGTGTTTGATATAACACATTGCATTTATGTAAACCTGGTTAATTCTCAACATGTCAGTTTAATAGTTTTAAAAGGTACGAGTTAACTGTTGCTTATTTGCTTTTCGATTGCATTTTTAAAAAAATGATTAAAATTTGGAACTTGCCTTCAATGGAACAGCATGCAGTAGAGTATTTTCAAAATTATCAAGAAAATTACTACTTATGTTAAAATGGATCAACACTGGCTGTGCAGTGGAAAAAAATATGAAAATGGATCAACACTGGCTGTGCAGTGGAAAAAAATATGACAAGCAATTTAAGATTTAATATATTATGTAATTTAATTATGTTGATTATCAATAAAATTTATCTGTTCTTTCAAACACCTACCAGAATGATTGGTCCAAATTTTGCAAAATCTCCTTCAGTTTCTGTAGTTGACGATGTTTCATTGTTTTGTAAATGAATATAATGTTTTACTTCAGCGTTTATGTCTGAAATGCCCTTTTTATTTCAAAATTTCACATAATTTAAACAAGTAATAATGTTTGGTAAACAAACATTAAGTAATAATGTTTGATATTCAAGTTGATAACACATAAAATGACTCTTTTTATCATTTAAGACTATAAATTTTTTCTTCCATTTGTTTGGCATTTCTAGCGTGAATTGCATTTTCTATACACTTGTATTATATAAAATTGATATGTGAAAAATATATAAAATTGATAGTGGGGTGGCATTCCTTAGATTTGTGTCCAAAACGACCACAAGTTAGACACTCTGGGCCAAGAGAACGATTAGGACAGGACCATGAGAGGTGTCCGACCTCATTGCAGTTAAAACAAGTTTGCGATTTAGTTTTAGATGGACCAGTATTAGTAAATTTCATGCCGTGTTGTTGGTCTGAATTTTTTCGTCTAGTACCACATCGGGGGCCATTATACGTATTTTTAAAATTTGATGGATGAGAGATATTTGTATGTCTAGTCGTAACTACAGTTTCATAAGTGCGTAGCTTTTCCTTGAATTCAGAATATGATTTTGCACCATAGAGAATAATTTTATCGGATGGGGTACCTAGTATTCCTTGAATGGTATACTGAATGACAGAAGCCTCGTCGATAACACAGTCACCACGATTCACAATTTCCTGCATTGCGATAAAATATTGCATAAAGCTTTCATTTGAGCGCATTTTTCTTCTTTCGAGTTGTGTATGAATTTCAATAGACGTAATTTTATTAGAGAACTCATTAAGTAATACTGTTTTAAACATGTCATATGAATTGAGATTCCGTTTTGAAAACAAAAAAGTTTTAGCAGTACCCACAACAAGTCGTTTCGCAAAAACTAATTTTTGCTGGTCGGTAAGAGTTGAGAATAATTGGAAATTATCTTCTATATCGTTGAAAAAAGTACGGACTGAATAGGAATCATTGCCTGAAAAGTTTCTGCAAGTGTTTGAAAGATCTCTCAAAATAAACCAAAAGTCATGATTCATCTCGCGAATCCTGATGCTCGCCATCATATAAACACCGGAGCGACTCGAATTCAAATTTATTACTTCCGCGTCAGAAGAAACAACGTGATTTGGGCTTGGCGCCGTAGAGGGAGGGAAAGGGGGAACAGAAGAACTTAGACCTCCAGGCATCGGTGCACTGTCGGTGTTTAAAATTGAATGATTGTCATCGGATAAAAAACTAACATCTAGTGAATTGTGAAAATCCGTCAGATTAGTAAGTGCATGAACAATTTTTTCACATAAAACATCTTTATTAGTGGAAGCTTCCAAATGCAATAAATTAGCCACTGATATAAAATCTGATAAAGAAAAATCTTTTAATAGAAGTTCTTTATGTTTTGCCAAATCGAAACTGTCCAGGGAAGGCGGCAAACGGCAAAATTTTGCATTCTCTTTCGCGAAGAATGATCAAAATCGGAATATATCCGAGCACGGTATTAAATAATTTAATAACTCGTGTGTGCCATATTTAAGAGAATTCGCCTATCAATGAGGATATCACCTAATTTTAAAGGGCCATAGTTTTAGGGCTTTAAACAGTAAAATAGAACAATATGAATATGAAATAGGGTAGGTATGAATGAGAATTTAACAGGCTATAAACACAGCTTTAAAATCGTAATACTAATAAATTATGAACGAATCGGAGAAAAATGGCCCTACCTAACTTCGGGGCAGTCCTTATAATCCAATATATTTCTTGGCCAATCCAATGTAATCCAAAATCGAATTTCGATTTAACGTCCAAAATTAGAAGAATGGTCAAGTACTCATGGTAACATCATTCACATATGTCGTCCAGCTTGAAGAATATTAAATCGTCATAAAGGCACGTCTTCATTCACATACTGTCGTCCGGCATGAAGAAGAATATTAAATCATCATAAAGGCACGTCTTGCCTTTGTTAGCTTTCTGAACGTCTTTAGTGATTGCTGGTGTCTAGGGTTCGATTAACGCATGCACAAAAGGCACGGTCGAGCCCCCAAAATGTGGGGAAAGGCAAGGACCATAGTTGATAACACACATTTATTACTATTCACAAACATAGATTACATTAGGATTACAATTAATGAAATAATATACGAGTGATCAAGCGACGTATGCTCCGCTCGCCCGCTAGTCCTCGTCTTCTCCCGAAGGCGGGAAACACCTGCTGACGCAATGCATACGTCACACAGTAGGGGATTAGGGAATATCATGATACATTTCCCACATATACATTTCCCACATAATTTAAACATAAGTGTTTGATATTCAAGTTGATAACACATAAAATGACTCTTTTTATTATTTAAGACTATAAATTTTTTCTTCTATTAGTTTGGCATTTCTAGCGTAAATTGCATTTTTTATACACTTGTATTATATAAAATTGATATGTGAAAAATATATAAAATTGATATGTTATAATTGATATGTGAAAATTATAGACAATTTTCAGATATTCACAATTTTAACATTTCAATATCTCAAATTCGGCATTTCCCGAGCTTTTACTGTGCTTGGTTACAAAATAAAATATTTTATTAATTGGTGTTAATTACCTGTTTTTATTTCCCTCAGTTTGAATCTGCTATGCTCTCTCTGTCATCTGACGACAGCAGCAGCAAACAAACGAACGATTCATCGTCAAACTGCACTGAACTCTTGGCATCGGAGAGTGAACTTCTGGACTTTCTGAAAATCAGTCAGTACGATGCCGAAGTCAACGCCCCGATCCAGTCGTCCCATTTGCTGCAAGGGGATGACTTGCTCAGTGCTTTGGACCACCAGCCACTTTTGAGGAACGTGCCTGCCCTCGTGTGAAACAATTGTATCTTCACACAGAAGTGGTGCGCCTCGACTCCACATTGTGCCTGCCAAGTTGGATAATTCCATCATTCTATAACTGTTTAAATTAATAAAAGAACATTAGTTTATGTGTTTTCTCTACTAGCTAAAAAAAACTTGGAACTGTAACTGTCAGAGCTACCTTGGCTAGTAGGAAAAAAATGGATGTTGCTTAGCTTTTTCTTTTCCTGCTGCTGAACTAGATAGTTAGCAGCCTGCAATGTGATAAGAATTTGTATCTATCAAAAATTACGTATGTGCAATACCACAGATTTTCAGTGAATCACATGAATTTTTCCTTCATGAGCTTTCCCACACTCGTTTAGTTTGCTCACATTTGTTCACCAGTCTAGTTTTCAGTTGGCAATAAATAAGAGTATCAATGACTACAATGAATTTAAGTAAAATGTAACAAGACTCATGTAATTTAAAAATTGTGTCTTATGCTGTTTAATTCAGTGTTTCTCAACCTTCGTGGAACCCTCGAAATAATATTCGTGAGGAGCCATGCATAAAATTTTAACTTTATTAGCATCTTCCTTTCTCTTTTACAAAATTCAAATGAAAAGTGTTCCCCCCTCTCCTCCTGATACAATATTTAAACATAAAATAATTTAGAATTTTTGGGGTTCAGAAGCTTTCTCTTTTACAAAATTTAAGTGAAAAGGATTTTTTTTTAAATTTTATTATTGTATATACAATAATTATTACAATAAATTATTACTATTTAATAACTTGAGATAAATTAGCAAAATTATGAAAGGAAAGACATAAAGAGCTCAAAAAATGCATTTATATATGATAAGCCAGTTCATCACTGCTATTCATGAGAGCACTAGTTGAGAAACTCTGATTTAAATCCAACACATTAAAAATCAACAAGTTAGAAGAATCATTAAATTTAAAATATTTTAATCCCGTAAATTAAAAGTTTACTTTTTTTTTTATAATAACTATGTAATGTTTTAGTATAAAGCGAAAGTCAAAATCACACAGCTTGGCAGATCTCAATAAATTTTAAAATTAGCAGAAATGGAAGTTTACTAAAAATAACTGGCATTGAAATACTTTGCTAATCACATTGAAAACTGTAAATTACTGTACTCTGAGAAATGATTCTAACATTACAGTTAATTTAGAAATGCATGAAAAATATTTAATGCTTCCTTCTCTCTCTCTCTTTTGTTTTTGGATACTTTATGATTTCTATATTATCTTTACTTTTATCCTGTTTACCATTTTATTTCATGTCCAAAAGCTGCTAATTGATCTAGTTCAGTCATACATTTTCATTTTACTACAATTTTCCACGTGTACATCGGAAATTCTCTATGCATTTGTGATTGTCAAGTCATAATTTTATATGTTGTTGCTTTGGGAAAAATATGTACCATGACAATTTTATGTATTTCCCTAATTGCAGGAATTTTATAATTTCAGGTAGAATTAATTTTTAGTAAAATACAGACCAGTATGTGTGGTTCATATCTATATTGATAAGAGCAGAGGAATGTTAGACATTAGGTGTATTTATTCTAAATGTTGTAAATTATGCTCTTTGCATCTTCATTTGTAGAACATTTATTTTTAGAAAACAGGACACTTTTTACCAGAATATATATCCTCCTGCATATTATAAATAGATAGGGCGAGTTTACAAAGATGCAATTTTACATTTGAAAATCTGCGAAAGAAATTGCAATGCAAATTCATTTCATGAATTCTTGAGTTGCATTTAGTTGCATAAATGTAACTGTAAGAATCACCACAAACTTTATATTTTGAGATATTTTGGTTATATTACCCTAACTAAATAAAACATTTTTTTTTAATTCTTAAATTTGTATGGTTAAAAAATATGGTAATATGGTTTTTTTTTTAATCGAATTCGCATATTAACCCAGAAAATGCAATGTCTTGTGAAAAAAACTCAGGCTTGTGCACAATTAAACATTCTGAATTCTCAACTGAATTAGAAATCTAACAATCTGGATTAAGTAGCCTATTAGATGTCATCCCTTTCTTAATCCAAATTTTACAGGAAATTTTACAATGCCAATTTTTCATTCTTGACGTTCATCCAAAACAAAAATCTGTTTTTTGTTAATTGAGGGAGAAAACTCGCCTAAATCTATAATGGATATGCATGGTAATGCTTTAATATATAATCACTCTGAAATCTATATGTAAATCTGTAATACAATGAAGATTCATCAAATGGTGCATTGTACAGCAAAATCAATTTTAATTGTGGAATGATTCATGTATTGAATGTAAGTTTATAATGGATATGATTCCTGTAGATTATTAAATAATGTCATAAAATAATCTGCTTTGAGTATGATAATGGCACAGTTTTTCCTCACGAGAAACATAGTCGTGTGTTTCGAAACTGGTGACATTTTTAATCACATTTTAAGATATGCTGCAGGTAAACTCAGGATTAAAATCTAAAAATGTATCAAGTATTATACATTTTCTATTTAATGCATGGAATGAAATATATTAGTACAATAGAACAGAACATGCCTGTAATATGAATTTTAAACTTAAGAAAATAGCACATTTTAAGAATTGTTTAATATTTGCACATGAAAAAATAATAGTTGTTTAACTATTTCAGGTAGATATAAACTACATGTGCATTTCTTTTATTGATCAAAGAAAAAGAGAACATTTTTAATTTAAATTTTCATCAAGTAACCATAAATTAAAACTATTGAGTTTTATGATTTTGTGTAAGCGTGCATCTGCCACCTTTCGGTAATTCTGCAATGCTTAGATGTGTAAATTATTTAAAGATTATTCTATGGCATATTAATATTAAGCATTTAGTGACTCGTATTGCATTCATGAAGTTCTTTCATAGTAAATAAAATGCTTAAAATGACAGCATAGGTGTGTATTTTATATTAAGTATTGCAAATTATGTGAGTGTATTGAAACACTACAAATATGCATGATTTCCTTTCTGTTGTAACTAATACATTTGCATATACATTATATTTTGCAAATAGTAAAACAGATATATATATATAATGAAAATATATAATCATAAATTTAATATTTGTGTTCAAGTTGTGCCTTACTTTTTAATTTGAATGTTAATGTAATCAAATTTTATAGCAGAATGATTCATTATAAATACTATTTAAGCTTTTATTAATGAGCACCTATTTCTAAATCAAGTCACTGTATGAAAAACTCAATTATACATATATATGTTTTTTATTTCAGTAATGAAATTATTTTACCTACAATTAATTCCTTAAAAAAACTATAAATGCTATTTGAAACTTTTATTATGTGCACCTATTTTTAAATCAAGTCACTGTATGAAAAACTCAATTATACATATATATATTTTTATTTCAGTAATGAAATTATTTTACCTACAATTAATTCCTTAAAAAACTAAAAAATTACATTTTGAAAGTAATTTATTCAGTCAAACTTTGTATGAGTTGGAATTAACTTCATAACCATTTTTCCATACGCACATGCAGTAGTATTCCAGTGTTTCAATTAAAACGAATACCTGGCTTAAAATATTTCTAAATATAGATTTTGAAGTAAAACAAAAACAAGAATCTTCATGCTAAAAAACAGTGCAGTATCAGTTACCACAGATTCTGAATTGCATTAGACAAATATAAAATATCCTATCAACACAATAAAAACAGTTTAGTTAATTTTAAAACAATTCCTTAATTTTTCCATTTTATGATCAGTATTCCTATATTCATACAAACATTTTGAATCTTTGGAAATGAAGTTAAATTATTAATGCTAAATAAAACACTAAATTAAAAATTATTAATATTTTGTTAAAAAAATAAAATTTTAAATTTTTATTCATATTTCTAAAAATATCCAAATGTATCTCTAAAAACAAACGTAACTAAATATTTAATTTAATAAATTCAGGGAGATGCTGCTTTTTATTCTTCGAGAAACACGTTCTAAATCTGCAAATGGAAATACTGTTATCTGTTTTCATCACAACCTAAAGCTGAAGTTTAAGTTCCAGCATACTACAGCAATATTACCTCTGTTATGCTGTAGTTTATTGTTATCAGTACTGTATATACATATATTTATATATGCGCAGACACACAACGAAAATATGTACCATCCAGAACTAATGTTAATATTATAATTGTGGTTGAAAGTAATCTCAAAGCTATACCCTCCAATCCCACTCTGGTGCTGTTCTATTTTTTGTGGATGCATTCACGCTGTTAATAACTTCACATGGCGGCTGACACTGAAGATGTTTCGGGTATTCGAGCTATATATGGGGTGATTGGTTAATTTTCGACGTTTGCTCATGTTCTGGTGGTGAACTCGAATAAAACTGGAAGAAATATAGTTTTATCTTTACTTCGAGTAATATTAATATATTATATGTATTTTCTTCCCACTGCCTAATTTAAAAGGAATGGAGATGCCTTATAAATAAATTAATATCCTTTAGAAAATATAATACAGATTAATAACAGTTTAAATAATTGGCCATTAAAATAACTTAAACCATAGGACCTTTATGGTTTAAAATAGGATTTCTTAAACTTTGTATAATGGTGATCTAGTTTATAAATCCCTGCCTTAAGATTATTTGAGGAATTTACTTTTTATTAATTATTATTTTTATTTATGAGTATATTAACAATATTAGTCAAACACCCAAATAAAACCAAAATAAAATTCTGAAATTATCTATGCTTAATCTATCTATATATATTTATAGCTCATAATTTAGATTAAAGGGAAAAAATATAAACTAAACAAACAATGTGATCATTCAATAAAATATACAGTATATTGAATTATTCAGTATGAAATGGGTTAAATATTAATGTTTTCATTTAAAAATTAATAACAACCTTAGAGTAATACTTCTTAAACATTTGTAAAATATACATAAATCTTATTTTATTATCAAAATATAGTGTAAATTTGAGAGTCAAACTGGTAAATATAAATTACAAGAAAGTGTATTTTTCTTCAACAGAAATAAAGCAAACATTTAAAACGAGGAATAATCATTATCACTTCAGATGATTAGAAGAAATGGATGTCTTCATGTGCAATTTGCTGCCAGTCAGCTTTGCTGATATATAAAACTCAATGCAAAACTTGTTGATGTCCAATAAAACCACTTCCTAGACATAAAGTGAATGAGAAATAATTTCACTTTCCTTAATCACCATTGTAAATCATTTTAATATGATTCAAATTTTACCTTGTATTTTGTATAGAATAAATGATGAATGTAAGGAAGATTTTTTTTTAATGTTTGTAGAATTCTATAAAAGAATAACTTATTTTTTTACCTTAAATTGAAAGCTTTTTTTTTTCCAATCACCCCTATAAAACTGAAGTGCCTATGTAATTATTATTTTTAATAAAGCATTTGTAATTATGGTAATGGACACACCAGTTTACATTATTTTTATTTTGCTGTCCATTAAAAGAATTCTTTAACAATTGTTACAGTTTTGTTACATGTTGGAAAGTGTGCTGCTTTTAAATGCAGCAAATGTGCATATTATTATCTACTATACAGATTTAAGCATTGTTTCTTTTTAAATTATACATAAATGAAAATATGTAAGTTGATTAGATCTTGAAGTTAGAGGAAAATGTTCATACTTTAAGCTACAATCAGTGTCATATTTTGAACAATTAAAACATGAAATAGGAAAAAAAATTGCACTACTTATTACAATATACTGATGCATCTACACAAAATTTCAGGTAAAAAACAGTGTTTTATATTTTTCAGTACCAAAAAATATATCTGTTGAAATTGTTTTAAGAATGTACCTTAGAGAAAATTATATCATTCATAAAATGTATGAACTATATTAAGAAATGTGCGTTTTATTTCTGCATACGTTCAGTTGTAATATTTATGTAAATAATTAAAATAGTTGCATTTGGATTCAAATATATGCAGAGATATTTATCTTAGAGTCGACTGTAGCAAAAATATCCTAATATTGTTATGGTAATGTTTAACTATATACTTTATTGAGTTGAAAAATTGTGTTAAAAAATTTAATTGGAACTTGAGTCAATCAAATAAGCTTAGCAAGAGATATATACTGTAATAAAAATCATAGACATTTCTTGGTGTTTTCATGAATTGATTACAAGTTAGAGCAAATTATTTTTGATTAAAATAAATGTGAATAAAAACTAAAACTTATTTTTTAACTAACTTACCTGAATTTTTTTCTTCTGGCAGTCAAATTGTAAAGTGAGCAGAAATATCTCAGTGTTATAATATTTAAATATATTATAATAATATTAAAATTATGATAGATGTATATTATTTTCCTTTTATATAGGTGTCATATTTATAGGTGTTTTCCTGTGTGTTATTTACTTAAATATCCTAATAGTGTGATATGTGATATGATTATATCTTTTCCTGTTTATGTGTCTAGAAAATATGTTCATTTCCTAAAGTTGTAAAATTTACAAGTAAAATTATATCTGAGATTGTATGTTGTGTAGTTTAAATAATATATATATATATATTTCAGAATAATTTTTTAATAAAGTCAAATATTTATATCATTATTTTTTCAGAATATGGCATTTAAAATAACTATCTTTTGTGCTTTGTTTTAAATACTTTATGTAATACGTAAATTCAAAATGCTATTTAAATTGTATAACATTTAAATTATGCCATTTTACTGACTTAAACTGGGGGCTTGTAGCATATATTTTGAAATTATTTATTTAAGCATTAACTGATAAATTGTGACTAATGCTAAATATTGTATTGTTTGGGTTCTTAACATAGGTAATTTTTGTTCTACAGGTCTAAACTTTGGTCTGTAAAAAAATTCTTTTATCCTCTCATTGAGGGTACTTGGAAACGACTTAATTACCGTACAGTCTGATCAGAAGATCATTTGTTGCATATTTCAATTTTCACGGAAGGAAAATAGTTCACCACAATTAGGTTAGGTTATAGAATTCTGATAAAAATGTATAATCTTAATGTTTAGGAAACCTTCATAGTTTATACTTTAAAATTCATCCAAGAGGGATAAATCTAACATGACTGTAGCAAGCAAGTGGGGGGGGGAAACATAATTCTCCAAAGTATTACTTTTCTGTTGTGGACTTGTTAAGTGCCAAAGTTATATCAATCAAAGCTTTTAAATTTTCTGCCATGAAATATTCATGTACTGTTTACATCTTCAATGGATTATTAGGTTCATTTATGTGTGTTTAAAGCAAGTTTAATGCAGAGTTTTTGTTCCAATATATCTTTTGTAATTCATTGTTTCGACATATTCATTTATTGTGGATTAAATTATATCTGTTCATAAAACTTTAAAGCCCATTTAATTAACTTAATTCTTCCTTGTGCTCAAAGTGTCATTCAACCTATGTAACAGCTGTAAGCTTGATGGAAACTTTCCGAGAGTGGCCATTTATCATGTGATTTAACCTATAAGTTAATGGATTCTATTTTGTTCAGTTATGATATTATGATCTTTAAGGTATGGTCCTTTTAAAGAAGCATTTACATTTTGCATCACATGTAAGTAGTATTTTAGTATAAAATAAAGATATTCTGCTATTTTACTGGTGTATTTTTTTTTCTCACATTTGGTTATGAAGCTAAAGAGATATGGTCTAACCTCATTGTAATGTAACTTTCGGATGTAGTGAACAAACCTTTTACTCCTGTCCAGTTTCCTAGGCACTTAATTATTATATATTATTACCGTCAACTTCTTCCAAAGGTATGAAAATGGGGTATAACGATTTGCATGAATATCTTCTATTGAAGCGTTTTTATCTTTTTCAGAATTCTAGACTTATGTATTATTGCAACTACTTCAGTAGTCACCAAATTTTCACACTGTAACAACCATGATCATAACAGTCCTCCCATTAAACATCACCATTTTGATATGTGGGTGGGGTGGTTTTTTTTTTTTTTTTTTTTTTTTTAAACTCCAAGTTTTAACAGTTTTTGTGGCTAAATCGAGTCTTTTTCTCTGTCTTCAATGAGTAATAAAATGAAAAACCAGGAAATGCTGTCAGTTGTAGGAGAAAAACATCGAGATTTGCAGCTTCAGAAGAAGAGGAAGCTTTATGCAAAACAGGTTAGGGTATAAAACATTTGCAGACGTTGTCATGCTTGTTTAAGTCGATGTTTCCGGCTGTACTAATGGCAGTCTCTTTAGTTGAATGTGCGTTATTGATGAAGTTGTTTTACGAAAACAAGGAGAATGCTTTGTGAATTTTGTTGTAGAAAGAATCTATGGCACGGACTAGTGTCTACTAAAGGTATTCGGGCCATGATTAATAAGAAATCTGAAGAGACGGGGAAATTAGAAATTCAACTTGGAAGAGGCCATAAACGTGTCACACTGGTATTTGAAGCTGTCAAGACAGCTGTTGACTCGCAGATATCAGAGTTTGGGGGCAGTGATGCGTGTGAAGTTTCTGGACAGGCAGGTTATTCTAACAACACCGTCCGAAAAGTACTCAGAAACATAGGGCAGTACTTCCCATACAAGATCTGCCATACCCAGAAACTGCTTGATAGAGATATGCCACAACATCTCTCATTCGCAATCTCAACAGAATGACTGTTGATCTGTCATGGCTTTTGGAATATTCTGTGGAGCAACAAGGCTCATTTCTACCTCAATGGGAGAGTCAACAAACATAATTGCCACATTTGGGCTAAGGAAAATTGGAGGATCTACACTGAAATCCCCCTACAGTCTCCTAAGGTCACTTCTGGTGTGGATTCACAGCGACATTCATCCTTCGGCCGTTCATCTTTGAGGAAATCGGTGAACGTGGACCTGTCACATGCTCTGTTACGGGCCTTCAGTACCATGGCATACCACAGGTGTTTGTTGTGCCTCAACTACAGCTAAGGCAGGTCCTTACATTGACCATTTTCATGCAGGATGGTGCACCCCCACATATCCATGGATCCATGAAGGCTCTATTACTCCAACACTTCACAGAGGAACGTGTTATTAGTCGCTCCTTTTCTAATTCATGGCCACCACGTTCGCTAGATCTAGCTCCGTGTGATTTCTAATTATGAAGCTATTTAAAAAGTCTGTTGTATCGTAGAGATGTTGCAACGTTGAATGACTTAACGCTTCATGTGCGAAGCCTCACAAATAATCTGCAAGGGTCACGGGGAGCACCTTTCCCTACCTCGTCCTGGACACGATTAGGAACTGCTCCTCTAGTGCAATATTGTCCTAATCTGTTTTTGTTTTTGCAAACTGAACTGGTGTGTCTCCCTTTCCCAATGACAAAGTGATCAGAAACTAGTCAATTAATTAAGATACAATAACACGCCGAACAAATATTAATTTAGAAGTCAAAGAACAAAAATCAGCGTTATATTTTCAAATTTTCACAGGACTAGTTTCGATGGTTTTACCGAACCATCATCCTCAGCTACAAAAGAGCAAATGAACGAGATAAGATAAGAAAACCTGGATAGGAGATAAGCAACTGGCGCCATCTGTTGATGAAATCAGAACTAAAACATAATTTCTTTAAAGGCTAAAGGCAAAGATGGATTGGAATTAGGATCGATAACTAGAACAGAAAGATTATTTTGAATATGAAATACCTCTAAAAAAGCTTTCTGTTCTAGTTAAAGACCCTAATTCCAATCCATCTTTACCTTCAGCCTTTAAAGAAATTATGTTTTAGTTCTGGTTTCATCAACAGATGGCGCCAGTGACTTATGTCCTGTCCAGGTTTTCTTATCTTATCTCGTCCATTTGCGCTTTTGCAGCCGAGGATGATGGTTCGGTAAAACCATCGAAACTAGTCCTGTGAAAATTTGAAAATATAACGCAGATTTTTGTTGTTTGACTTCTAAGTTAATAGTCAATTAATGTATATTGTTTTTGTATTCCATTTTGGTCGTTTGTTGCGTTAAATTTCATGTTTGTTTTTTTTTTTTTAATCCCCCTTCAAAATTCCGTGAGCGCATCTCGTGTATAGCCCATATACAAAATTTCTTTGCATTCCGTTCACCCGTTTGCGCTGTAGGATGCCGTTTATAGGGGAAGTTTAATTATAACCACCCAGTAGTTGTTAGTGACGAAGAATTACCCAAGTTGGCGATCATGGCTGATAAAATTTCACCTATGACATCTTCTAATCAGATTTGTGGTGTATCAACAGCTGTAATTGCTCAAATACAGAACTGTTAATGAAAATTCAATCCCTTGAACAGCGAATTGTTGAAATGTTTATTCATCATATATCGAGACCACGATTTAAACACAACTCAGTCCCGCAGACGATCTCGCAGTACTTCTAGGAAAAGATTTAATCAAAAGAAAATATTGTTTTTATCATTTCCATTTTAGTAACAAATGTCATCAGGATAAATGTACTTAGCCAAGCATTTGGTCAACTGATAGGTTATCCAATCAGGGAAACGACTATGCGCAGTAGAGAAGGCAGCAAGCTTTACTGTGCATCAAAAAACCAATCTCTCCTACATGACTACCTTAAAGGAGCTCGGAAAAAAAGATAAACGGAAAATTCAGTGGATAGATGAAGCTAAGGAACAATTTCAGCGATGCAAAGATGATTTAGTCAATGCAATATCTTATCATTTCTGAATCATGAACTACCTCTGTCATTATATACAGATGCTTCAGACTCGATGATTGGAGTTGTACTTCAACAAATTGAAGATAAGGGATGGAACTCTATTGCATTATATTCGAAAAAACTAAATGAAGCACAAAACATTACAGTACTTAATATAGTGAGTTACTAGGAATTTACCTCTCCACCAAACACTTCAAATTTTTACTGGAAGATTGGTTGACTTTTAATGGCACAAACCTTGAAGGTTATTATGCGCCAGACGAAAGGTGAATAAAATCTAAAATGCCCAAACACACTGCAACAGATGAATTGTTGAAATGAACCTGTAATGCTGATGAAGGCATGGAGAAATGACGAAGAAATGCTCTAGCAACAGGTAGAGCATGATAAAAGGGAGAAAAAATCAAATGTTAAAAAAAATGTCTTTTAAAAATTATATGAGGTTAATGTGAGGGTTTCTTCCAATGAGGTCTGTTAAGTTAACATTCGTAGAGTTAAAATAATATTCACGTTTCTGGCTAAAAGCAGGACAGCAGGTTAAAATGTGATTGACTGAAATGGAAGCGTTGCAGGTGCCACAAATAGGCTCATTATCTCCTTTCAAGAGATACTGATGTGTCAGTCTGCAGTGACCAATTCATAGGCGAGTCAGTAGTACATCCTCTTTTCGATTCTCTCTCGACTCCCAATACTCCAAATTGGGTTTTAACTGCCTTAATTTGTTTAGAGTCTGGCATTCCCAGAGTTCTTGCCACCTGGACAAGATCTTTGTTCTGATGTATTTCCGTATGTCGTTTTCAGAGGTAATATCAGCAGATTTTGCTGCGATATCGGCGAGGTTCATTGCCTTTGATGCCAGCATGTCCAGGTACACCCAGCAGTACACAATAGAATAACGTGCGTGCCTTTAAAATTTCTAAGACCAAAGGGTGGCTGCTATTTGTATTTATTGATTCAAGAGCACTCACAGAGTAGATGATGAACTTTCTGCTATTCTGCCTAGAGATTAAGGAATTTAAAATGGCAAAAGTTTCTTCAGTAAAGACAGATGCAGCCTTATGAAGTTTACTACTCTTGATTTCTTTATCACAAACAAAAGCTGCCCTGGCATGATCACGATTCTTTGAGCCATCAGTAAAACTTACTTTATAGGTTAGAATGACTGCTTCTATACTCTAGTAAAAATTTGTTGATATTGGACATCATTGGTACTGCCCTTCTTCAGTTCTCCAAAAATGTTAAGTAGGTGAATATTCACTTCTTGCCATGGAGCAATACCGAAAAAGTTAAAGCTTTTGGGATGCACATCTTTTAGGTTGAATTCTTCAATCAGTGAGCGAATGCGAAGATCAAAAAGTGGGATACACGAAGGACGTGCTTGGTAGATACGCCAGTACTGATCAGATGTCATGGAGTCGGACAGGATGTTCGTCTTGTAACATTACTTTATAAAGAAGATCAATAGACAACTGCTTGCGTCTGAATTCCAGAGACGGTTCAAAACAAATGACATATAAACTTTGGATTGGAGATGTTCTGAAAGCTCCACAGCAAATCCGTAGCGCTTGATAGTGGACTGGATCCAATTGCAGTAGCACAGAAGGTCTTGCTCATCCATACATAACACAACCATAGTCAAGTTTGAAACCGGATTAAAGCTCTGTAAATGCGAGCATAGAACAATGTTCTCCCCATGAAGTATTGGCCAGGACTTTCAGTATATTGAGAGCTTTAGCACATTTTTTTCTTTAGATTTAAGATATGCGGAAGGAAAGTGAGCTTTCTGTCAAATATAACTCCTAAGAATTTTGCTTCTGGCTCAACGCGGATCAAAGAGCCGTCAAGATGCAGCTCTGGATCAGGATGTAGATTTCTTTTGCGACAGAAATGCACGCAGACGGTCTTCTGGCTAGAAAATTTGAAACCATTGTTGTTGGACCACTTTTATGATTCTATTTAGAGCAATT